GGGGACGGCCGCGGGACACGCGGAGGCTCCCGCGGCGCCGCCACGGCCGGCCCCCTCCCCGCCCCCCCTCCCCGCCGCCGCGTCCCATTCCAGACTGGGAAGAGACGGGTTTTCCCAGAGGGGGAACACGAGCCGCCGGCGCCGATGCCCGCCGGGATCCCCCGGAGGCTCCCGGCAGGTGGGCGACACCGGGCGAGGGGCTCCGGGGGGCCCCGCGGGACTCGGGGTGCCCACGGGAGGCCCCAGAGCCCCCCGTTGAGCAGTGCTGTGACTCGGCACCCGCCGTTATCCCGCCGTTATCCCGCCCGGAGGCAGCGCTCCTGGAGCAGGTGACAAGCGCCCCGCCGGGCCGGCTGCCCCCGCGCTCCCGGCGCCCGCGCCGGGCGCTCCCACCGTTTATTTTCCTAGGGCTCGAGAGCTCCCAGGCGGCTTGTTCTCCATTAACCTCCCCGGCTCGGGGCAGGCACCCGAGGGCTCGGGAAATAAACTCCGCATTCCCGCTAAAGCGCCTGGATTTCCTACAGCCTCGCCGGGGGGCGACGGCAAAGCCCGAGTGCCGAGCGCGGCCGAATCCCTCCACCCGCACCACTGACTCCGGCGCTCGCCCCGGCAAGGGCGGCCTCCGCTCCCCGTCGGTCCCCCTTCACGATCCACGTTTCCAACGGGTGCCACCGGGCACTTCCCGGGGGACGGACCTGGGTTTTGTGAGGATTTTTGGGGTATTTTTCCCCCCCGTCTCCGCTCACTTCCCCCGAAAGCTTTGTTTAAGACAAAGGCGCTTGCCGGGCCGCGCTGCTCGGAGCGGGGACAAGGGCCGGGATCCGTTCCTGCTGAATCCCCCGGCTCGTTCTTCTTTTTACCGGGTGGGAACCGGGTCCTTTCGGCTCTCCCCTGGGCTGGAGCAGCAGGCGCCCTCCTGGAGCAAATTCAGACCAGGCTTGGGGGATTCCTTGTGGATATTCCTGGGGGATATCCATGGGGAGCAAACCCGCCAGAACGGGGTTTAACGGAGCTGCCCGGGCAGCTCCACAAAGGGCAACGTGCGGGGTCCTTGTTAGACCCGCGACTAAGCGGCTCGGCCCGGCGCATCCACGCGTGTTATCCCGGCCCAGGGCTGGGCCGGCCGCTCCGGAGCTGCGGGGCACTTCCCTGCCCCGCGGGCGCTTCCCAGCTCCGGCTGGGCGGGCGCCCGGGAAGCGACGCAGGTGGAAAAGGAGCCGCGGGCGGAGGTGGCGCCGGGCGGCCCGGGCCCGGCGGCGGCTCCGCGTCACGGGAAGCGCCGTGGGCGGCTGACCTCACCTTGGGCGCAGCCGGCGCCGCGTGAGTCGGCCGGGCCTCCCACCGCTGACCTTTGGAGCGGGGCGGCCCCGCGGGGAGCGCGGCGGGGACCCCGCGGCCGGCGGAGAGCGGGAAGCAGCCGCCGCCTCCTCCCGCGGGAGGAAGGGGCCAGCGCCGCGCGGGAAGCGCTCCGCTAAGCTCCCCTTTCCGCCCCGGAGGCGGCCGGTACCGGAGCGGCGCGCGGAGCCCCCGGGCCTCAGCGGAGGGGGGGAACGGGGGGGCTCCGGCTGCTACAGCACGTCCCAGGGAGCAACGCGCAGGGTGGAGGGAGGGCTCCGGGATGCGGGAGGAGCTGCTGGGATGGAGGGATGGCAAGGAGCCGCTCCGACGGGCAAGGGGCTGAGGGAAGCGCGAGGCGGGAATGCCGGCACGAGGCTGGAGGGGAGGYGGGAGCGGAGGGGCGCGCGGAGCCCGAGCAGGGGGCACCAAGGGGCGGGAAGGGGGCACTTCCCTGCCACGGAGGAGAGGCACCCGAGCTCCCGCCGACACGCGGGACAGGCCGCGGTGCCRCAGCGCGATCCGGAGGGAGGCCGGTGAGGGGCTGCGGACGCGGCGGCGCCGACAGGGAGCCGGGGAAGAGGCTGCGGGGCCGGGAGACGGCGCGGGGATACGGGGAGGGTCCCGGGCGTGGAAAAGAGGGGCAGAGAGCGGGGGCCAAAGGAGCGGGCAGGGACACGGCGGGGAGCGCGGCCGCTGCCGGGCCTGCAGGGCTGGGCCGCGGCACGGACAGGCCCGGGAAGGGCCGGGACGCGCGGGAAGGACACGGGCCGAGCGGGGGGCCCCGAGCGGCCCGCCATGGGAGGGGGCAGCGCCCCCGGGGCCCGGGCCCGGCCGCCAAACCGACCTGCTCGCCGCCGCCATGGCCGCCCGCCGCCGCTCTGAGGGCAGCACGCTCGCGCCCCGTGCCGCCTCTCCTCCTCGAGGCGCCATTGGCCAGCGGCTACGCCGCTCAGGCCGCCCCTCCAATCCGCACGGGGCTCCGCGCCCTCGCGCCCAATGGCGAGGCGGCGGAAGGCGGGCCCGCCTGGGCGCGCGGCGCCAGAGGGGCGGGGGGGAGGCGGGTAGGCTCCGCCCCCGGCGTCACGTGAGGCGGCGCTTGGCGCGAGGCCGCGGGGCAGGCGCGGCTGCCCGCGCGCTGACGTATCCGCGGCAGCCAATCAGCAGCCGGAGAGGGCGGGGCAGAGGGGGCGCCTGCCCAATGGGAAGGGAGCGGGTGAGGGCGGCGCGCGGCGCGGGGCAGAAGCCGGCGCGGGGGCGGGGCTTGGCGGGAGGGCGTGGCCGGGGGGCGTGGCCGCGGGCACCCGTGGGCAGCGTCCCGTGTCGCAGCGCGGGCAGCGGGCGCCGTTCGCCATCGCCGCGGCGCCATGCGGTGCGTCGTGACGGGAGGCAACGTGAAAGGTGAGCGGGGGCACGGGGACGGGCACGGGGACGGGCACGGGGATGGGGACAGGCACGGGGACGGGGATGGGGAAGGGGACGGACACGGGCACGGGGAGCCTCACGCCGCCTCCGCCGCCCCGCAGTCCTCGGCAAGGCCGTGCACGCGCTGTCCCGCATCGGTGACGAGCTCTACCTGGAGGCCACCGAGAGCGGGGTGAGGCTGGGGACACCCCCACGGGGACACCCCCACAGTGACACCCCTTTGGTGACACCCCCATCGGTGCCACCCCCACGGTGCCACCCCAGTGGTGACACCCCCATTGCTGCCACCCCCATGATGCCACCCCAATTGGTGACACCCCCTTGGTGCCAACCCCATGGTACCACCCCAATGATGACACCCCAATGGTGACAGCCCCATTGGTGACACCCCCTAGTGACACCGCCTTGGTGCCACCCCCATGGTGACACCCCCATTGGTGACACCCTCTAGTGACATCCCCTTGGTGCCACCACCACGGTGCCACCCTCATGGTGACACTCCCATTGGTGCCACCCCCACGGTGCCACCCCAATGGTGCCACCCCAGTGGTGACACCCCCATTGGTGACACCCCCATTGGTGGCACCCCCTTGGTGCCACCCCAATGGTGACACCCCCATGGTGACACCCCCAATGGTGACACCCCCTAGTGACATCCCCTTGGTGCCACCCCCATTGTGACACCCCCATGGTGCCACCCCAATGGTGACACCCCCTTGGTGACACCCCCATTGGTGGCACCCCCTTGGTGCCCACCCCATTGGTGACACCCCCATTGCTGCCACCCCAGTGGTGACACCCCCTTGGTGCCACCACCACGGTGGCACCCTCATGGTGACACTCCCATTGGTGCCACCCCCGGGTGCCACCCGCTTGGTGCCAACCCCACGGTGCCACCCCAATGGTGCCACCCCCATTGGTGCCACCCCCTTTGGTGCCACCCCCTGGTGACATGCCCTGGTGACACCTCTGGGGGCCCCCCCCGCGGTGCCACCCCCCCGGTGACACCGCCGCGGTGTCCCCAGCTGTCCCTGCGCGCCGTCAACGCCTCGCGCTCGGCCTTCGCCTCCTTCCTCTTCGCGCCGCTCTTCTTCCAGCAGTACGAGCGGGGCAGCCCCTCGCGCGGCGGGCAGCCGCTGCGCTGCAAGGTGCTCATGAAGGTACCGCCGCGGGGGGCGCGGGGGGACCCCGGGGTGCCGCGCGGGGCGCCCACGCCCCCCCGCGCCCGCAGTCCTTCCTGGGCGTCTTCCGCTCGCTGCCCGCGCTGGAGAAGACGGTGGGCAAGTGCCTGCTGGTGCTGAGGCCGCCGGCGGGGCGCCTGGTCGTGCAGCTGCACTGCAAGCACGGTGAGCGCCGTGCGGGGGGCCCGGGGGGACGCGTGGGGCGCCCCGCTGAGCCGCTGCCCCGCGCGCCAGGTGTCACCCGCACCCACAGCCTGGCGTCCCAGGAGTGCGAGCGGCTGCAGGCCGTGTTCAGCACGCAGCGCTGCGCGCACAGGCTGCGCGCGCCCGCGCGGTGAGCGCTGCCGCGCCGCGGGGACACCGCGGGGACACCGGGACACCGGGATCGAGGGGGACAACGGGATGAGTGGGGACACGGGCTGGGGATC